CAGGACCACACCCCTAAATGCATTGAAGCAACTGCCATGTGATTGGTTGATTAGATAATTGCATTAATGAGAAATTGAACAGGTGTTCCTAATAATCCTTTAGGTGAGTGTATATACGGTATTATCACAATACCAGCCAAAAATTAGCCAGCACCCCTGCCCTCCTGGATACCCCTCATCTGCCAGCCTGAAATCAATGTCCCTAAGGTGGGATATCTGAAGTTAAGTCTCCACAAGTTACAAAGATGACCACCTGGTGCCCATCGGACCAGAGGACAACACGTTATCCAGCCAATCTTATCTAGAAAGGGCCAGTGTGTGTGCAGGTTTTCACTGCAATTCCCTAATTAGATTACTAATTAGAGAGGACTGATTGACTGAAGAGTCCTCACATCTGGGTTTGAACAGCTGACTTAAAGGTTATCCCAAAAACCTGCATACACACCGGCCCTTTGCGGATAAGATTGGCCACCCCTGTAGGTCCACCTGTAGGTCTCTGGGTTGTGGTTCAAGGGATAGGGGATGACGCTAGACATGTGACAAGTGCGAATATGGCTGGTGGAACCTGCAGCCCCATTACCCTGGGCATGAGCTGTCAAAAGGGACACCACTTCACAACCCCAAATCTAATCATCTAAATTCTGGGATCAGGTACACAATGACCTCAAAGAAATTAGAGCAGACAAGCACATACATTGATATTAGCATTTCTGTTACCAGCACTTTTTTTTCTTAGCAAACAGGGATGCTTTACATATTCCCTTAGAATTGTTTGGCTTAGTTATTCTAGACGAAATGTGTAATATTAAGGGAAATATTCAGTTTACTCTGAAAACTACACATACCTAGAACCTACCAACTCTGCTTAAATTAAGGCATAGCTGGGCTGAAAAGATGGTGATGGTGAATGTGTATTTGTTTTTTAAACCAAAACTAATTTCACCGCCACACCAGCTGCAGAGGGATTCTGAGAAACCGAGGCTGAGGTCGTCAGAACCCCTTGATTTGTGCCAACTTCAACTGTTATAGGCCAAGCAGCAGCTGCAGGTGGATAAGCTCCACACTGCCTCAAAGTGGCTGTTGGCTACAATGTGCAAACACAGCTGCCAGGGTTGTCAAACACATGTGCATTTTTAATGCAATTTTAATTTAAACTGTGCACCAGTTTTAATAACTGAATAATAGTGTGCATGTCTGCATGTGTGTGTGTGCACGCAGTGTTAGTCACAATCAGAATCACAGTGGTGACAGATGTATTGAACTCCTCCTGGTGTACCAGCTTAATGGGCCCACCTTGGAAAGTCCATGCCAGGGGTGGGGGACCTGATCCATGGAGAGCTGGTGCGGGTTTTTGGGATGATCTCTCAATCAGCCAATAAAACAGTGATTCCCAGCTCCAGTCCTGGGGACTCACTGTTATAGGCGGATTGAGAGGTCATCCCAAAAACCCGCACCAGCTCTCCATGGATCAGGTCCCCCAACCCTGGTCTTTGCATTTCACCCAATTTTCCTTTGATTTTGAAATGTTCCACACACACAATGCAGAGGTTTCCTGGGCTTGAGAAGTGCCTGTGAACAAGTTTACCTTGCACCTAAGAGCAATAATATTACCACACAGAACTTGTATAAAACATATTTGCATAGGCATATCATAAAAATAATTTAAGTTTGAATAATATACAAAGTACAAAGCTTGCAGTGCTATCGCAAAAATAATTGAAGCCAAAAAAATTACTTTCTTACCTCAAATTATTTTCCTTACAAACCTGAGTGTGTTTGTTGCAGGGTGCTCCTTCTTCACATGTGAAATTAAGACTAAACTGAGCATGTGCCGAGCGACTTGATCTGTACCTCGTTCCAGATTTGAGAAATAGACTTTGTTACAACTAATGTTACAATCATCCCCGATCTCCCCTACTCACAGGCTTTAAAAAGATGTGAGTGGATGTACACGATAGGCTGACCCAAGAGTCACTGGGCCGATTCTTCCGTTGTCTTCATCATGCCGTCACGCCAAAATTCATATACTGACGTCACACGTATACTCGAGATGTGGTATAAAAATGACATAACGACGATTTCTAATATAGCTTCGGCGCATTTACAAATTTAAATACAGTGAATAGTCTACCACTAAGGCTTAGTGACTAAGCAATACGACAAGTGTTTGATCGCCGAAAGGAATGTGGAATCGAACAGAAGGGGGGAAGACGAGAAGTGCTTTGAACTTGTTATGTCGCTTTATACAACAGCTACAATATTTCAGCTTCTTGTTTTTTATTGTTATAAACTGGTTTAATCGTGGAAGAACCCTAACCTCGGTTCCAAACAGCGCGACGCCATAAGAACAGTGAACTTAAAACCGCAGGGGGGAACTATATCACTGGACCGTTTTCGTAGTAGCAGCGTGGTATGGGCTGTCTCAGAGTTAATAAAATAAACCAAAAAAGAACCACACAGGGCGAGCTCAAAAGAAAACCACTGCAGTAATCTATACACAAAATAGTACTATACACCAAGCACTTGCACAATCTACGACAGATGCTGTAAATTTCCCTTTAACTACTAACGAGAATAACCACCCGACAGTATCGACGAGATTGGACAAACCCTCTCTGACCACTATTCTGTGCGACATATCCCTCGCACTCGCTAAGGACCTGTTTTGTTTGCTCATTATTGTGCCGTTTAATCAAATGCCTGTGTAAAAATAGCAGTCTTGCCAGGCAGTAGTCTTTAGCGCGTTCGAAGGGTGATGGTGGAGTCTTGTGTTGTCTGCTAAAGAGAGATTACACGAGGCTGAGATTAAGCGGGTAGCTAGCAATTCTGGTTGATTTTTGCAAGCAGCGGGGATTGTTATCTATCTGAGTATTATTTATTGACCTGCATACGTCTATTGGGAACCGCTTATATCGCCACTTGGTCTACTTAGCAGTGGTGGTGTCATCCGGTTCTAGACGATATATTGGATGCATTTTTGTATGGAAGTAGTTTTGAATTTAGTGCTCCAAAAATGTATTGCAATAATACGTGCGATACGTGCGTTATTTTATTTCTATGTATGATTTATTCACGGATATGTGTATGTATGCACGTATAGCTGATCAATTGAAGAAAACGTGTTCTGCGTTTTGTCGGTTGTTCATTTTGTGCCTTTTACAGTCAAGAAAAACTAATCCAGTGTCTCTGTAGATTCTTCCTAGTGACTGTCGTGTGCTGGCCGTGCAAAATTGGAATGGACCCGCGGAAAGTGTCAGAGCTCAAGGCCTTCGTTCAGCTGTGCGGCCAGAATCCCTCAGTCTTGCACCTACCTGAGCTTGATTTCCTACGCACTTGGCTGACAGGGTCAGTGTTCTCTCGCTCGCCTTTATGCTCATAGCTTGACATACTGATGTATAGCAGAACCCGACTAGTCGTGGATATGATCAGCTTTAATGATTATGAAACGAACCGCAGTTCAACATGGGCATATGGACAATAAAAGGCGGCACTCAAGAATGCTTGAATCAAGGACAGCATAATTAGTAATAATACGACAGTTTAGTTGTCAAGGTGTGAAGAGATCGTCATGGCAACTACATACGTCCAACAGGGAGTAAATGACAGAATGACGCAATTAATTATTAAATTTGGGAATTTGATTTATCATGAGTTTTCTCATTTCAGGATGGGAGCTACAATCCCACCACCAAGCACAAAGGGTGCACCATCTTCATGCCCGAGGGTAAAAATGTCACTTCATTTGGTTCTCCTTTAATAAGCACGTACTCCACTGACTTTCGCACTCTATCGGAGGGTGGCGCATAAATAAATATAATGCAATGACACGTGCATTTTATTATGTTACATTTTCCATTGGTTTATTCTTTAACTTTCAAATAAATAAGGGAGACATTGTGAATAAAGCCAACGGAGAGCATGAAGTCATATCATTATTATGTGGGCTGAGCCGGTAGAGTACACGCTACAGCAGTACCCTTCATTTTGTTTGCACAATTACACTGCCATGTACCCGTGGTAGAGAATTTGAAACCATCCTTCCAGTTTTGTGTGGTATCACTGTTTTCAGACCGAGTGTCCTTGTTCTGGAGCTTCTGCGCCCACTTCAGCGCCAGAGGAACCTGTGTTTCCAGAGAGTGAGGAAAGTGAACTAGGTATGGCTGCACCACTCATACTATGCTAGAATTTTTTGAAAGAAAATGGGTGTAACAACCAGGAATAAAATACTGAGTGTTTCTACTTATAATAACCATTGTATGTATGCCATTGAATGCAGTAAATTTCACTAATTATTCATTGTTTATGTTTTTATTTTAGAGATTGATGATGAGGGAGTGATTGAGCCTGACACAGATGAGCCGCAAGAGATGGGAGACTTTGAGAATTTGGAGGTACTGAGTCTGACCAAACCTGACTTTTCCGTGTTTCTGAGTTTGTTGTTTTAACGGATGCGTTCTCACACCAAGGTGACTGATGAAATGATGGATCAGGCGAATGAGAAGAAGATGGAGGCCATCGCAGCGCTGGGAGAGGGTATGTGGCGGAACTGAGGAAACCCGGTCAGTCTTCTTCCAATAGCTGTATGGTGAGTGTCTCAATGTCTGTGTGCCACTGTGTGGCAGGGGAGCTGCAAAAATCCCTGGAACTGTTCACCGAGGCCATCAAGCTTAACCCGTGCCTCGCCATCCTGTACGCCAAGAGAGCCTGGTGAGTGTGCAGCCCGAATCGGGAAAGTACGGCAGCGTCCATTGCTGAATCTGTGCATGAGTCAGACGCGCCTTTGTCCAAAGATGACCGACTGTCTTTCCCTCAGCGTGTATGTAAAAATGCAGAAGCCCAACGCAGCAGTGAGAGATTGCAACCGGGCCATCGACATCAACCCCGACTCTGCCCAGCCCTACAAATGGAGGGGGATGGCTCATAGGTAAGCTCACACACGCCCTCTGCTGGCAGTGCACATGGGCAACCCAGTGCGGATAGTAGCCACTAGTGATGCGCGGGTCGTCTCGTAACCCGCGGACCCCGGGAAATTGTCACTTTATTTGCAGGGCGGGCTGGGGTTTCATAAAAGCGGGACCCGCGGGTTGGAAAAATAGCCGACCCGCGCAGCACTAGTATCCACTCAGAAACGCATGCAAACTTCATTGAACGTCATGAATTGAATTTTCTACTCATCACTATTTTTGTCAACTTAACTGAATCACTTAACGTGAAAATCCTTCTCCTCTCGTAAATCGTCACCCAGACAATAAGATGTCCTCCCTGTCCCTCATGTCATCTAAATGTGTAATAACTATTTGGTATTTGCAATATATTATAATATTATAATGGTTAAATGTACACACTATGTGCAATTTAATATTATTATGCGTAATAACATTTCACCAGTGTGCAACATTACTTATGTACTCATCATGGCCTGCATAATGCTATTTTGGATACTTTCAGCTTGACTCATCCTCACATAGTATTTTATTTAAATCACATTTAAATCCGTTTTACTTAGCTGTATAAGACAGATAACTTTATTAACCTCTTGAGGGAAATTAAATTGTCATAGCAGTCAGGCACGTTTAAATCAAAACAAAAAAATTACAAGACAATGCAATAATTATAGCAAATATATTGTTTATTGTATTTTTTGATCTGTGCCTTTTGCACCTTTTCCTGTCGTCTGAGCAGTTTAACATAAGCAGTTTCCTCCGGGATTAATAGTATTCTGATTGTAAATGTACCTCAGATGAGCCCAGACATGCAGACACACTGTGTCTTTGCTGTGCTGACTGATCTCCGTTTATTCAGGATGCTGGGAAACTGGGAGGAGGCAGCGCGGGATCTGGCCACAGCCTGCAAGCTGGACTATGATGACGACGCCAGCATGATGCTGAAGGAGGTGCAACCGAAGGTACTGGGGCACTAGGACCCTGTGGCTGTCACTCATCCACATCTCTACTGATGCTGTCATTAAGCAACCCATGACTCACCGACCCTCCCCCTCCTTTATGAAGGCAAACAAAATTATCGAGCATCGGCGCAAGTATGAGCGCAAGAGAGAGGAGCGGGAGATCCGTGAGAGGCAGGAGAGAGTGAAGAAGGCCAGGGAGGAGCACACGAGAGCACAGAGGGTATGTGGGGGCGGCAGGAGGAATGGCCAGAGGTGGGGATGTCCGCTGAGAACCTTGTTACGGATACAATGTACCTCTTATCCTGTTTGTGACCAGGAGCAGGAGGCCAGGCAGCAAGCAGGGGGAACCCCTGGGGGATTCCCAGGTGAGTGTGATGCTGCATTCGATGGCAGATGAAGGAGAGTTATAAGTATGGCCAGCTTTTGTGGTCTGATGGTAGCTGTGAGTCCCTGGTGACAAGGCTGCTACCATTTTATCCGATGACGCCGCAGGTTTTCCGGGGGGAGCTCCGCCCTTCGGCATGCCAGGCCTTGGAGATCTCCTGAATGACCCTGAGCTGCTTATGGCCATGAAGGTAGGGCGTTCTCGTCTGTCACCACCGTTCATTCTCCATAACCTGGTGTTACATTCATTATGCAGGGACCACTTACTTACAGGCATGCGATTAAGGGTGGGCGGTATGGCAAAAATTCCATATCACAATTTTTTTTCAGACAGAATCACAGTCCACGATGCTGGTTTTTAATTAAGACTGTTGTACTTTACTGAACAGTACAACAAAATTAGTTTCCCTATTTTTTAAAAAATTAGCCTTATAAGGCAATAAATCCTAAAAGAAAAGCATACTCAGCATATTTTTTGGTGTGTTTTCATTTGAGGTGGTTGAAAAGGTTCGTTGTGTTGCCATCCAGCATGCAAACCTTATCCGTGCAATTAAATTTTGTGTGCAGCTTACTGGTTTTGAAAGATCCAAACAAGCTCGATATTACAGAGGTCAAATTCATTTTAGGGACCAACTCCTCCATGTCACCCAAACCGCTGCTTCGCCAAATAGGGAATGTGCTGCATGTCTGGACGAGGGTGCAAAAGGGAGAGAGGGAAAGAAAGCTAAAGCACTCCCTGCTGTTAGTTATTACCGGTTTATTGGTGTGTCGAAACAGATTCGGCTGACAAAACAACTTCAGATGCGTGTATGAGCCGTAGAAGTGCAACTGATAGCATTGTGCTACAGTGCACATTCTAACGATCTCTCTGTAAAGGAGACATTTTAATCGTTCACAACAAAATATCAAATTGCACACCCTATATGGGATGGGGGGGGGGGGGAGAACTGATGATTTCAATCTCAGAAGGGGAAAATAGTACTGATAAGACTAATAAATTAAATGTCCCCTTTTCTGTTTGGTTGTCAGGACCCGGAGGTAATGGCAGCCTTCCAGGATGTTGCCCAGAATCCGGCCAACATCACCAAGTATCAGAACAACCCCAAGATCATGGCTCTCATCAGCAAACTGAGCACAAAGTTTGGGGGGGCCCAGGCTTAGGTATGACACTGACTTCTCAAAGGCTTTTAATTCTAAAGTAGGGCCTCCACCTAGGGCTGTCTCAAACATGGCAAGGTTAGTGACCTCACTCCAGGCACACCAGCACACAGATAATGAGAACTCACAAATTACTCTCCTCCTGGCTTTGCCCTCCAAAAAGATTTTTGTCCAGAGGCAAAATGGATCAAATGAGTGTTTGAGTTGTTTAGTATAACATGCCTGTTTTATGCTAGTTTGGACATCTGTCATTTAAGGTTGTTTTGATAGTTTGACCATTTAAGATTCCATACTTTTGTGTTTCCAACATAAATTGCATTGTCTGTCTTTCCAGTTCCAATAAAAGCGCTTTAGGTTTTTCAATGTCATGGAAAAATGAGTAAACGATTAAACATTGTGAAGTGGTTGTTCTGGGCACTTCTTTGAATCGGACGTTCAAATCCCTTTTTGGTTGGTGATGAACACAGTATTTGGCATCGCCACCTGGATCACACTCTTATGATTTATGTCTATTTTGTTCTGTCTTACCCACATTTCTATAGCAGCAATGTTGCCTACCTCATGTTGGTGTCTTAAGTGCTGAACTTAGGTCAAATGTAACCTACACCTAAGTTATGAAGGCCCTTTGTATCTTAATGAACACTGGCTGTGCATTAGTTATTTAGACACAGGCTGGGTTAACTTCCACAGGACTGAACCATCTAAATCAGTGTTTCCCAACCCGGTCTTCAGGGACCCACAGACAGTCCACGTTTTTGCTACCTTCCAGTTCCCTGAGAGAAGCAAAAACATGCACTATCTGCATGTCCCCAAGGACCAGATTGGGAAACACTGATCTAAATCAATCAACAGAGGACAACACGCTATCCAGCCAATCTTATCCACAAAGGGCCAGTGTGTGTGCAGGTTTTCACTGCAACTCCCTAATTAGATTACTAATTAGAGGACTGATTGGCTGAAGAGTCCTCACACCTGGGTTTGAACAGCTGACTTAAAGCTTATCACTAAAATGTGCATACATACTGGCCTTTGCCAATAAGATTGACTACCCTCTCATTTTTACCAATCACTACCCTCATCCATCTTGAGGGTTATGCTTTATTTATTTATTTATTTCCAGTATGAAAACAGCATGCCGGAAATTACAATCCTCAAAACAAAACGTGAGACCTTCTGAGCAACTTATTACAACATAGATACCACATGAAATCTTATATAGAAGCAACACCAACTGTCCCCCAAGTAAAGTCAGTAAGATAAGAAAAAAACAAAACAAAATGGACTTTCCTAGACAGATGTGCAACCGCTCCCATGCAGAGCAGCCGTGGACCATGGTCTAAAGGTGACCTTGACATGCGTGCTTAGTGTCCATACCTGCATTTGAAGAAAGTCATTTTAAGTATTTGCTGTACAATTCCACACTGACTTCAAGAAATAAGTTTCAAATGCAGTATATATGCAGGATACTCACTTCTGAAATTCCCACTCCCTGTTATCCAGAGGACACACTTGTCGGGTCTTCAGCCAACGCGAGATACAATGGAAATGGAAAGCATGCTGAGAGAAGAGGAAAAAGGAGATAAAGGCAAACTACATACGTGTTCTGACAGGAAGATGCTTTTTAAAAAAGTGAACAATCAAGCAATAAGAATGACATAGCACATTTTGTGTAAAAAAAAAAAAAAAAAGAGGTAAACGTACATTGCAAACTCCCCAAGCAACAGTGCACTCCTCAGATGTAGCAGAGGCCTGGTTGGCTTGACACTCAATACCTAAAAACAGGGGGGAAATCAAATAGAGGAAACTGTCTTCATTTTTAGGGCCAATCAAAATGGACCAGGGGTTAAGCTTTACTACTTACAGAGATCCATAATGTGATTCCGGCAAATGGCACAGTTGTCAACCACGATGTCCCAGGCCCACAACGCCACGGCATTCCACTGCAAAAACACGAATGTCACACTGAACAACTCCAACAATCGTTCGATCAAAAAAAAAAAGAGAGCGGGTATCACACCTGAGTTCGCAACTGGATTAAGTTAATTCAGTCCATGTCTCTTGTTTTAGTAAGAAAGCCAAACATATGCAGAACCACAATGCACACAAGTCGTTATGTGGACTCCATGGTCACAATACAATAAAATGACATATAGATTGATGAATTTTGTTAATTATACAGATTAAAGGCTTTATTTATTAACTTATATGTAGACATTTTCATTTACAAGACAATGTAAAGTTGTGCATTTAAAGGGCACCACCCCGTATTTTACGAACAACCGAATCTGAAACTTTGCGCCATCATGGAACGTCTACCTCGTGACCGGCATTGTCGCGTTTAATTACGTCATCGCCTCACAATTCGGGCCCGGTCCGGGTTCCTTGTTTCGGTAGAAAAACAAACCCGACGAAACAAACCAGGTTAAACAGACTGTACCTCCCTTTTGCTCAATGTTGTAGTGTAAAACGGATTTGCCACCTAACGTAGAACAGCTGCGATTTAACAAGAAGACCACCAAGCTAATACACGCCACGGCTCCACTCTTGGAATTTCACATTTAGTAACCACTTAAATGTACATGTCATCATGTTGAACACTCACCTTCTTCACTTCAAATCGTTTCTTGCTACCTCCGCTGTTTGTGCCACTTGGGGTATCAACATCCATAGCAGCCGCCATCTTTCCGTCCAGATATTTGTGAAATCACCACTGAGCATGCGCACGGCTTTGAAGTTGCCAGTTAAAGGAGAAGTTATTTTCGAACATTTTATTTCAACGATATTCTTTAAGCGCAACTCATTCCAATCATTTAGAACTGTGACCCAATGGGTTGTATGGTCGACATTATTTACAGATGCAGAGTAAAAATACATGACGGTATTTGTTTGATTAGGGATATTTCCTTCTTAACAATTGTACAAAAATAGATAACGATAAAATTGTTGATTAAAACTTTATGGTCAAGTGAACTGAATGACCAGATCATTGAAGGTAATACCAGAGTTTAAAACTCAAAGGTAGAATCAAAGGTATTAGTAATGAAAATCTTTTTTCAAGTAAAGATGACTCAGAGTTGTCATGTTCTACCTTTACCCGGGTACTGTGTCCGAATCGAGGGAGAGTTAAGTTTTTCAGTTTGGTTATTCTTCAGCACTTAAATGCGATTTTATTGCCAGTTTATACAAGCATAAACGAAACTGAAGAAAATGTCAGGTTCTACCGAGATTTGAACTCGGATCGCTGGATTCAGAGTCCAGAGTGCTAACCATTACACCATAGAACCATACGTCAAGACGCACTACCACATAATCATATCATATTTAACTAATCTTGGTATGTTTTCAACTGCGCATTTTGTATGGAATGACGATTAATTTGTTACATTTAAACTTCAGTTTATCTTAACTTCATAGACACGGAAATTCTCAATGTTCTCTATCAAACGAAAGGACAAGCTACTCAGCATGCACGGTCTTAATCCATATTTATCATGTACAGCTACTGAATCTGACAAATTATGGATTTATCTTAATCATTGATTCACTGAATCATTTACTATAGCTGTATGTATACGTATGTATAGTGAAGGATGTTTTTTTAAAGCAAGAATGGATATAAATTCAAATCATATGAATAGGGCCCAGTGTGATACTGACTCTGAAGTTAATTAAAATGATTGATCCAGTGAGCCAAACTAAACTACTGAATTTTAACATTGTTGAATTTTTTCTGAAAAAAATCATATTTTAAAGTGGATTTTAAAAATAATGTCATCCATCTGTCCATATTTCAAGTGGTTATTCTGAGAAGGATTTCATGGAGAGCCTGGAACCCAGCTGAGACAGAACGGGGTAAAAAGCATGGATATGGGACAGCTGTCCAGCACGGAAAACACAATTACCAAGAATGCATGGACTGTGAGAGGAAATCAAAGTGACATGAGGAGAACATACCAACTGCACACACATGGCAGAGGTGAGAATGAAATCTGGAAATGCTAGGCTACAGTGCTAGCTAGTAATAGTATAACCCTTCATTGGCCATTGCAGAAGTAAAAGCATATAGTAATTTGTCTCTTTGTCTACCCCATCTTGCTCTTCATAGCATGAGGATCACAGCACAAGGTCAACCGTCGTGTGACACCCCCAGAACTGGGGGTTAAAGGCCTTGCTCAATGTCCCATGGACATGTGACTGTTTTGTTGAGGCTGGGGCATGAATTGGCGAGTGAGACTTACCTGCTGAGACAATCACCGCCCAATACTAAGCTACTAAGCCAGCCCCATAAGAAGAATTAAAAGGTATTACATTCTAATTAGTTCCAAACAGAAGATGTCCTTACTGTTTTTTCCCCCCCACATATACCTGACATTTAGTTCTCTGTAGTTACTGTTCGCAGTAATATAGTAATACAAACAGTGGTTCAGACTGGATGCTCAATGTGAGTGATCGTACAGCTATTTCAGCTTTTACACCTAAAATCCTTTCCAACTCATACGCAAAATGGTGTCCTAGTATATCTAAAAGTTTGCCAAAAGTAGGTGGAAACTATCAAACATTTTATTGCATAAGATTCAGAAAATCCTTACCATCAACCCCACAGTTCATTAAAACTCAGGAACAGCTGTGATAGTATAATTTAAGGATTAATATATTGTTAATATATTGTTCAGAAAGCAGTTATATACATTTATACCTCCTAACACTGCCAAAACGTTACCTCAGTTTAACGTGCAACGACTGCATATGCTCCACCAGAGAAAACAGGTTGAAAAAGACAACGCAGCTTGGCCCTGAAGCTACCGCCACTGCAGTGTTACATTTTATGTTCCACGCGCCCCCTGGTGGTGAAGCTACTGTAACTTTTTCTTTTTGGCTGTACTTTTGCTCACTGAAGATTTCTGGCCTCCAGCGTGGCGCAGTTTGACAGCGGTGGCTTTTACGTGGGCAGCTTTGGGTTGAGCAGCTTTCGGGGCCCTGGGGCTCTTTGGGGGTTCATTGGGGAGCGGTCTTTCTCCCGGGCAGCTTTTGAATACGTGGACATCTTTGACTCTGCGGCCCTTCAGCTCAGGAGGATGTCCACAGCTGGCCCTCACTTTCAGGTTAACCTTTTCGATCCACCTAAGCAGGGAAGACAACGCCGTCAGACAGAGCAATGGCAGAATCCCCATAATCACAAGTGGCTTTGACAAATACAGCCAAGCCCTGTTCTCTGAGAGCAACTCCATGTTTGGCCTGTGAACATGTGAACTAGTGGCAGGTTGCATTTTTTTAAGTTTACATTATTGGTAACACTTCACTTAATGGGGCACAGATAATATAGTAGTATGTTATTACTTATGCGTTAACCACAAACTAAGTGTTAGTCACATACTGATTTCATGTTAATTCATCATTAATGAATTGTGATGCATGTTTTATGTCAAGTAGTCACTATACTTGTTACTATACCTGTTAATTCTGTAAATCTTTGTGAACTACTGAAGGAACTACTGAAGGAACAATGAATAAGTTAATAATGAAGTTAAATACTGATCTCACGATAAATGAATCATGATGAATCTTTTATCTCAAATAGCAGCTATAATATGTTCATGATTTGTACTTCAATAGTAACTGGGTTATTACTAACTATTTGGGACCCATCAAATTACCATATTATTTACTGTGCAAACAAATCAGTATTGATGTGAATTTTCCTTCTCGACAATGATCCACAACCTCAGAGTCATGGAGGAAAAAGTCCTCAGAGACAAACACCGTTCATCAACAAATTATGTTTTGCTTCTGCCTGCATTTCTCACTCGCGAAGCGGCAGCAGGGGACAGTCACACAGAAGAGGGTTTTCAGCCAGATTGATAACCTCCAGCCCTGCAAGCGGGAAAAGGCTGGGCAGCTCCTCCAGCCGGTTCCCCTCTAGGAGGAGGCTGCGGAGCCCAGCACCCAGGCCCTCCAAGGAGTCTTTGGACATCTGGGGGATTGCAGATGGGGGGAGACGGAGAAGAATGGGATGTAACATCGGTGGAGGACTGAAGAAAGTCATTCAGGAGAAGAGCAGAATATGGATTGAAAGACAGGAGCAGAGTGAACACCTAAAGAACATGCAGATATCTAACATGAATTCACGTTCAGATCGTTTTAAATGTTACGAACGACAAAACTACAAACAAACATAACTGCCCTTAAAGTCTTACCTTCTCTAACTTCATTCCATCCAAAAACAGATGCTTCAAACTATGAGCAAATGGGAAAAAAGCCTTTGGTCCAATCCAGCGAATGGGATTGGCTGAGAGGCGAAGCTCCGCCAAGCTCGGCGTATTACGGAGCGAGTCCGTTGGCACTTCAGTCAGCTGGTTGGCTCCCAAGTGGAGGACTTCAAGGCCAGGAGCCCGATCGAAAGCCCCGGGTGCCACTGTGCCGATGCTGTTACTGGTCAAATACAGGTCCCTCAGCTTCTCAGCCCCAACCAGAATACCCAGTTCCAGTTTGCTCATGAGGTTGTGCTCTAGGTGCAAAGCTAGAAGGTTGGGCAGGAGTTTGAAGGCCTCTCTGGGGAATCTGGTAAACTTGTTCCTCTCTAGGTGCAAGTAGGTGAGCTGGGGAAGGCCTGTGAATGCATCAGCGCTCAGGGAAAAGAGGTCATTCTCTGAGAGGTACAAATAGACGAGGTTCTTCATGCCTTTGAAGGCACCTGACTCAACCTCATGGATCTTGCAGCGCTGAAGGTGCAGGGAGACCACCTGGGACAGGCCCGGGAAGCTGTTCCCAGGGATGTAGTGGAAGTGGTTGCCACGTAAGTCCAGGAGCCGGGTGTCCGGGAAGAAGCCTCTGGGGATCTTGGTGAAGCCACGGTTTTCACAGGAAGAGTGGAGGGTCTCGTTCTGAGGGTGAGAAGAGTAGGAGTGGGGGGGGAGGGTAAAATTGTAGGATTTGAAAAGAGCAAATGATAGAGACAAAGGATTTAAGCAACTTTGCAGAATATCATCAAAGTGAGTTAGTGCTGGGTGATGCGTGACAGTATCGATGTTGCATGTTATGCGATCATCACATTGCAAAGACTGCAGTAGCTAGGTTGAAATTAGGCCTTGGCGGTATTTTTAGTACATTTTCAACTGCTTATGGCAAGAGTGGCCAATCTTATCCAGAAAGGGCCTTTGCGCATGCAGGTTTTCTCTGCAACTCCCTAATTAGAGGATTGATTGGCTGTAGAGTCCTCACTCCTGGGTTAGAACAGCTGACCTAAAGGTTATCCCAAGAACCTGCACACACACCGGCCCTTTGCGGATACGACTGGACACCCCTGGCTTATGGGATTTATAAATATCACAATATTTATCGCTAAGTATTCACATTGCAATAAGTAAAACAAACAGCTTTAATAAGATGCCTACATAAAGCTGCAAATACTTCATCCTGTTTCCAGGAATAGAGCCCAGCTCATTACTCTGCATCCCCATCCTCATTCGCCTCACCTCACAATTACAGTTATCAGGGCACTGCACCCTGTCAGGCCTGGGGGTGGCGGGTGGGCGGGCCCTGTTCTGGTACTCCTGCTCAGCCCTTAACATGGCCTCCTGGCTCTGGCAGCGCAGGTCATTAGGATGAAGACCGTCCAGGCTCTCCCCAGAGAGGTGCTGGGGGTTGGCACAGACGCCCGCCAGCCGCAGCCAGCCCCGGGCGGCCCATTCCCGCAGCGGCCGCAGGTAGCAGCTGCAGTAGACCGGGTTGCCGGTCAGGTTGAGCCTGGTCAGCTTTTCGGGGCCCATCAGAGGTTGGAGGCTCTGAAGCTGGTTGTGGCTGAGGTCCAGGTGGACAAGGCCAGGTGCCAAGGCCAGTGCCATGTAAGAGAAGTCCTGCAGTGACATGTGGTCCAAGAAGAGGTGGGTAAGTTTAGGCATGGCCACCGTCTCCTCTCCCAGATAGGTCATGGGATTGTAGCTCAGCTCCAGCCGGGTCAGCTCTGGGAGTCTGAATGGCATTAGACAAAAAAATATATATATTAAAATTTATTAGATTGGGATAATGTGTGAAAAAGTGACCACCCTCACTAATAGCCAAAGAGCATATTGAATATTTATCCCAAGCACGGGAAACTCAGGAAGTTGGATTCAAATACAAAAAGGTTAGGAGGAAACAGTCATGATCATGACTGAAGGCTGCTTCACTGCTAAGGCTGAAGGCCGCTTCACTGCTTCACTTTCCCTTTCATGTTCATCACGATGTCACAGTTCTTGCTGTGTGTATTGGTGCATTATCACCCTGGTACACGGCATCACCTTTGGGGTACAATGTTTAAATCACTGGGTGAAAATGGTCCTCCAGGTAGACGCGTTACTGCCAAACACTAGCGAACCACCTAGAAAAAGTGGTGGGTCTGGGGAATGCCATGATTTTGCAGGCCAAACCATCACTGATGCAGCCCTGTGCTGCACTCTGGGTACATAACAGTCTGGGTGGTGAGCCTCTTTGGGGCTTCTCCACATTGTAATGCTCCTGGATGTGGGAAAGACAGTGAGGGTGGACTAATTATAATTGGATATAATCTGGATTAGTGCCCGAACGTCCCTTTCAGACGGCTTCCTCCTTCCTCCACAGTTACTCCTGCCGGATGTAGTCCGTCCTTCATGGTGGTCTGCCGACATTACCCTGGATAGACTTGCTGTCCTGGTCACAGACGCACCGGCGAGACACTCACCAATAATCTGTCCTCTTTTGAACTCTGAAATGTCTCCCGTTATGTTGTGCGGATCGCAGTATTTTATGTACAGCTGTGCTATTGCTCTGCTAATTCAACCTTCACACGCTGCTCTTACTGATGAAACGTGCGATCAGTGAAGACTGACCACCATACACACATATAAGGGTGAAACCTCAAATACTATTTTGGCCAGTGTTTCAGTTTCATTGTCCAACCCCTGTATAGCAATCACAATAATGACATTTAATATGTCTACATGCAAGTTACCTTGAATGACTTGCTCTCATTTGTAATATATTTTATATGGTCTTTGTGCCAATACTAGAGTACCTGTCATTAGTTGAGACTGTATCTGTACAGGGACTGGTCAGCTGGCTATATTATACCTGGTCATGACCTCGGTGGGGAAGAACTGCAGCTCATTGTGGTCCAGGCTAAGGCGGGCCAGGCTGAAAAGGCCAGCGAAGGCCTCCACGGCCAGATAGTTGACAGTGTTGTGACTGAGCCGCAGCCACCTGATGTTCTGGAGGCCTTGGAAGGCCAGGTTGGGCAGGTACTCCAGGCGGTTGTGCGTGAGGGAGAGCAGGTTGAGGAGGCCCAGCTGGGAGAAGGCACCAGGCTGGATCTCCTCCACACGGTTGTGGTCCAGCAGGAGCTGCTTAAGGGATGATAGTCCATCAAAAGTCTCCTGCAAAAAGACAGGAGGAAGCAGAGACTAATAAATTGAACTGCGTGTTAAAATGTATGAGGAAGAGCACCAGGATAGAATAGAGACACCATCAGAAAGGACAGAGCATGCATACAACTGCCAGTTTTACACGATATCGCAATGACCACTGGTTTTGGTAATAACTTATCATCTTTACGGTTGCTGCTGTCCTACATATGTCTTCACCAAAATGCCATTTGCACATCTGTTCTAATAAGTACATTGCCACTTAAAAATCTTAATTAAGTACATACTGTTTATTTGTAATGTATGTGTGCCCTGTGATGGGTTGGCGCCCCATCCTGGGTAGTTCCCTGCCTTGTGCCCTGCGATGGGTTGGCGCCCCATCCTGGGTTGTTCCCTGCCTTGTGCCCATGGCCGCCAGGATAGACCCCGGACCCCCCACGACCCTGAACAGGATAGCTGGTTTCAGAAAATGGATGGATGGATGGATGGATTGTTTATTTGTAGTACATATTGCTTATTTGTTATTTATCTATTTGTTATATTTATGATATTATATTTTTTGTATATATTTTTTAGTTTTTTTTTAGTCTCTCAAATCTGTTTTTAGCCAAACCAAAGCACATTCTCAACAGTGATTCAGCGCTACATTTCACTGTATGCTGTACATGTATAACTGTGCACTTGACAAATAAATTCCTTGAAACTTATATTGAACACTTGGTCTTAACTCCAGCAGTACTGACATACAGCAAATGAACCGAACAGGGCCCATCAAAGAAGCCCACTACCTGGTACAGTATCTCGATGTTGTTGTTGGCCAGGTTGAGAAACACCAGGCGCCCCAGGCTGCGAAAGGCCCCCTCACGCACACGGCGGAGGTCACACCACTGTAGGTATAGATGGGTGAGGTAGGGCGTGTGCCGGAAAGCTCCGGAAGGCAGCTCCTGAATGCTATTGCCTCTCAGGTTCAACTTCACGGTGATCTGGGGCAGGGATATTAAAATTACATACAGGCATCATGTTAAAAAATAACACAAGCAAATGACTATCCTTGCCACATACTCTGCAACACTTGATAAAACAGTACCATCTGTTTCGCAGGTGGTCTTTGTGTTTGTTGACTCGAAAGAAGGCTTTAAAAATTACATTTTTAAAATGATCCCTCACCTCATTGATAGTTGAAGGCACCTCGGTCAGGTTCTTGCCGACGCAGGCCACGGTAAGTTGAATGTTGTCACAAACACAAGCTCTGGGACATTTACTTGGGTGCACGGTAGCCACTCCGAGAGAGAGAATGAGCGCCACGTGGGGCCACACGGAGACCGCAGACACGACAAACATCTGCAAAATCAAAATAACATTTCGCTAGTATAAATGAAATCCACATTCTGTATGCCAAAGCTAGCACCGCATTAACATTTTCGTTTTGCGTCAGTGCAACATTGCTATTGATGTTTTGATTTTAACAAAAAAACTAACTTATCTTTAGGGGACATAATTAAACGCATTCCGCTAACACATTCCAAAGGATAAGTCACAGTCCAGTGAAACGCACCTTCTAATTTTAGTAGGCCCGCACGTTTTAAGAAGGCTGACTTAAAAGCGCAAAAAGAAATCAATGCAACTTAATTCACCCGACCTCTAACGAAATACACAATAAAGAAATGCCTTTCAGCTATACGCAGTCGTATATAACCGAGAATATTATATATAAATAACATTACGAATACACGGGACATACATAAGAATCCAATGTGACATTTGCAGTAGTACAGTTTATTTTTATTGACCATTGTATACGCGTGAAATTGATACCGATATTTACCGTAGCCTAAAATAATTCACCGATTTGCATTACGTGAATTTAACTTTTTAGTAGTATATAGGTAACTGTAATTTTATTTCTCCCTTAAGTCTTACACACATACACAAACAAATCATTTCACAATAACATTTTGTGTGGTTTACACGAAAAAAGAAAGCGACTAATTTATTTATTATACTATATATTCCCGATTACTCTCGGGTTAAAGCTCAAATGAGCCGAAACTTGACGTATAGCTGGAGTACCTGCCCTAATGCGCCCTGACAAATTCTTATGAAATGACCATACTTCGCTTCTGTTAGCCGAAATAATAAAAATACGTCTGATTCCACCTGCAATATATTTAACGGCAAGACTAAAGTATAAGTACTATCCAGCTTTTGATCAAATAAGCATATAGTCGTTTTCAATGAAAACAGTTTGAATGAATAGCTTTCCAGTGGAGCAGCTTGAGCAGCTCTGCAATAAATAACGCTCTTCCCCAACAGGATACCAGATATTACACTGGGTACATTCATAGCGGCCAGTCGATACTACCTCCAGCAGAAGCCACGTATCCCACTCAGTGATTAAAAAAAAAAAGTCCTTCAGAAAAAATATATATTGAAAAAGCTAGAACAATAAAAATTGCACGGTGAAGGGCATCCGGTGTCTTATCCACGAACGTGTCTCACTTGCAGAGGGATTACTCGGTCCCGGCGGCAGAGACTGAGGGGGTGCCTTCGGTTTTCACCTCTGGTGCACCTAGGAGCGCACAAAGAAGCGCTATATGCGCGGAAAGGGCAGCGCACCAGCTTTATTAAAAACACACACACCGCGAATCTCATTTAATCGGTCTCCTTCTCACCAACTTAAAATTTCGCATAAGGATCGACCAACGCTTAAACATATCCAATATGTCACGTTATGTGAAAATGGCCAAAATGTCTGTATAACATCTATATTGCTAACACCGAGTAACGTCAAAAAAGTGACACTTTCAAACTGTACGAGTTGATTTACCCGCGTCATGGTTTTATTCCGATGCTGTTAAAGCAGATCTGCAAAACACCCCGCGACGAGGCCGTGTCCGTTAGTCTACCTAACAAATACATCGTGACTGTCCCCCCACCCCACAAATCAGCTTAACAATCGGTCGTAGGCACAAGGAAAAGGGGCACAAAATGGGACGACTTGACAATTAGAAGTCCTGATTGTGTGTTTTACATCCTGCTTCATTGATAAAGCTTTAACAACTATTTAAAAAAAGATCCAATGTGCTCATTAACATTCAACTTTTCTCCCTTGTTTGGAGATATACATTTTTTTTAATTAATGCCTTGGAATGCATACTGTTACTTCAAAGGCATAAGTAGCAGGACACCATGCCTTTATTCATCACCAATTTATAAATCTTTATCTCTTTTTTCCAAGTTATTTACATGTATCAAAAAGGGGGAATTTTTATTGTTGACCTGTTGCATAAAACAGTCCTATCAAGTTTATAGAAATATTTCCAGTTCTTTTTGTCCTCAGCGGGCTGCCGTAGATCAGAGAGTGAAGCCGGATTGGTCATGGGTGCGTCAGTCTCTGTGTGTGTGTGTCTTAATGCCACACAATGAGTTTGTCTGTGGAGCATCATCGTCCTTTACGTCAGTGTAACTATCCAGTGGGCAGGATACTGGGAAAAGCCAACACAGTAAAGGGTGCACAGGGTGATGCAGTCTGTCGAGACACGCCTTCTAGACAGAGCCGGAGACATAATGGTCAACATTTGGACCTCAGTTGCTCCAGCGTGGAGATGAGGGAGTTTCTGGCGCTGCTGCAGGACTCCAGAGACTTGCAGCGGCTGCAGGGCAAGACACACACACACACAAACACACACACACACACACACAGTTAATGCTAGTCAAGCCAACATGGTGCATAATGGCATCATTAACTGGGTGCTGGACCCCAGCATCAGCTGTGCCACATTAGCACACGTCCACCACCTCTGCAAGAGACTGTTTAGAGCATTTGTCCATATCTTCCCAGTTCAGTCGAGCTACTGGGACCTCACAAAGGCCTGGAAACCTCAGCGTCCCGCAGCAAGAACACAGATGGTACAGTGATGAATGGACAGTCCATGGTGTTCAGAAGCTCGGTGCAAAATATTCAAGGGAACTTCCTGCAGAAATATCCACAAACTAAGCTGCCTTTCACTACGACACAGCCGCAGACACTGCACTCTGTGTGCGTAATGCCCATTTCCTCATCTCGATGGAGACAAATATTGACAGAACATTCCCACAGAAATGGTAACTTCTGAAACAGATGTGGAGAAGCACCAATTATTCCCAACTTTTTTGATGGGGAGGGGTCTAAAAACTTGTAAACCAGTACCGTCACAAACACAGAAATGTAAAGGTGCACTGTTTGTGCATGCTGGGGTTACTGCACACGCAGGATATGCAGCACTGGGATGTGGTTCTGAATATTGCAAGTGTGTGAGGGTCTTACCGGGACATGAAAGCATGCAGCACGGCCACATGCTCCCGGGGGAAATAGTCCTGCTGCACAGCGTGATCCAGGGCCAGCAGATGACCGGGTACCACCTTCACCGGCTTTATCTTCTCCTCACTCTGCCGGGGGAACCAGAGAGTGGGCTACTGATCGCATAACAGCAAAACGAGTGGGAAAGGAGCGAACGCCCAGCCGGATAAAGACCGGGTGAGCCGGTACGGGCCACTTCACGGTTGATAACAGTGCACGCTTCTTACGGGACAGCACTGGTAGCCATTTACCTTGATCAGGCCTAACATGACCAGGAGAGCTGAGATGAAGCTGTAACTGTGGATGATGGGGGGTGAGAAGGCCTTCCTCAGCACGGCATCTTAAAGACAGGGGCAGTGGGGCTCAGACATGTCCACACACATACACACACACACACAAACACATTTGTAGTCATATCTTTGTGGGGACCGTCCATTCATTTCTATGGGCAAAACCTTAGTCCCAACAATGACAACCTAAACCCCTACCCTGGCCTAACTTTAACCATTAGTAAGCAAACAACTTAAAGACTTTTGACATTTTAAAGTTTTTTTTGTTCACAATTACAGATTTTTATAAAACCGAGTCTCCACTTGAGGGGACTGATTTCCCGACAGACAGAAACAGAGCTGGTAGCTTCCCTCACCAACAGTGTCCAGCACAGCCTTCTTGACCTCATGCTCGTCTTTGTACACGGAGGAGACTTTCAGGAAGGCCTCCACCGTCCTCCCCGCATCCAGCACATCTACCTGCAGGAGAAGCCAAGGCATCAGCCTTGCAGGTTGCTAATTATGTTTAAAGCTAAAAAGATGTTATTGCCAATGAAATTACAGAAGTTTTTTGTTTTGATCCCTAATTATGGAAATAATTCTGAGTTTAAAGGGATAGTCTGAGTTTAAAAGGATAATTGTACGAACAACACTAAAGCAGATGTGTGTTTCAGTGCAAGGAGTAAAACTATGGAACAACCTGGATGATGATTTGAGGAAATGTCCGACAATTGGTCAATTTAAGAAACTTTATAAAGAAAACATTATAAAATCTTATGTTGAGTTAATAATGAAGGATATTGACATGTTTAATTGTAATAATACTTGCAAATAAATAAAAAAAAAATTTAAAAAAAGGAAATAAGATGATGTATGTTTGTAAGGCCATGTAGTAAATTACTTTGTATTTCATAGAAGGGGGCAGGTTATATAAGATTGTTCTTCTTCCTCCTCCCTTTTCACTTGACTGTTTCTATTTGATGTTTGTTTGTGAAGTAATAATGAATGAAAAGATGCCAAGTGAAATAAACCTATTGAATTGAATTGAAGGTTAAGCTCCAGCGACCCGCTTTGCGTACGGCCCCGGCCGCTCGCCTGCTGTTCGATGAGCAGTGCTCGTTTGGCCCCCAGTTTCAGCAGCTTGTCGGGGGAGGGGAAGCTGAGGAAAGAAGTGACGTCGGGGGGCCGAGAGGACGACACCGGGGTGGAAACCTGTGGGAGGAGAGACTTCTTAGCACACGATGAGAGACAAGCCACGTAAAATGTCCTAGAAACTTCAAACTACTGAAAATGTGTCAGAAATAATTACAGCACTGTGCGAAAGTCTGAGGCAGTCAAAGAAAATGATGTTTAAATGATCTTCATGTTGGCATAAAACTATAACACGTCTGACGAAGTTAGCTTAGCCCCTTCAAAATCTCTCATAACGTCACCCCAGTATTTGCAGCAACTGTCCAACACAACCATGTATGTTTTGACTCTGCCACTAGAGCACCTTACTTACAACTGAGCTGGCGGTGAAAATGAAGAGATACGTCGAAAGGCTGAGGTGCCCCTGAGGAGAGGTCTGGGAACCAAAGCATTGTTCTTCTAGCCATTCAGTGTGATATCAGTAACTTTTTGGAGAACGTACTCTTACTTTGCATACATTCTAATGTTACATAGCATTTGAGCAAATATACACTTACTACCCAGATGAAAAGCCTTAAACTTTTTCTTTGACTGCCCAAGACTTTTGCACAGTACTGTATGTTAGTTTCTGGAGTTTATATATAAATAATACTATCATTAAAAATAAACTACTCATTAAGTGTCTGCTTTTAATGTTGTGTGAACGTGCTACACCTGTCACCCCTAGTGGCCAGCAGATGTATTGCGCAGCTTACAGTGTTCTGGGGCTTGGCTGGGGTCACCACAGCATCCACATCCTGGTCAGCTTTCACTCTATTGTCTTCTTCATCCTCATCTTCCTCCTCCTCTTCCTCCTCCTCCTCTTCTTCATCTTCACCATCCTTACCTTCTTCATCCTCATCTTCCTCCTCCTCTTCCTCCTCCTCCTCTTCTTCATCTTCACCATCCTTACCTTCTTCATCCTCATCTTCCTCCTCCTCTTCGTCATCCTCCTCCTCATCTTCCAGCTCTCCTTCATCATCACTGCAGATATGGTGCATGCGTACGCAAACACGGCGCTGTCAGCAACATCTCTCATGCGAATGGTTAGAAGAAATGTCAGTGGCCTCAACCTCGTAACAGCTCTATGACAATGAAATGAAGTTCAGCTTTAATACAGACATTTGAGATGCTTAAGGGAGCCAGGGCTGTGTCCAAAAGATCAGACTAGTCGTGTTGTAACCATCCATTAGAGATATATGAACATAATACACACACATCGGTTGAACTGGATCATCTAGTTCCAGTAACATTATTTCATATATAGGAACACCATTTTTGGTACATTATTCTATATATTTAGCAATTTCCCTTCAGCTCTTCCTCGTTCAAGCAAGGGCTTTCTAGTGATGGACAAAATGATGCTTCATGAACCATTTGCTGTATTTTTTAACCCCACTAGATGGTGCTCTTGGTTTGCTTTGGCACCTTGAACAGAGAGCACCATCTAGGAGGGGTCAAAAAATACATGAAGTGTCATTAACTGTCATTTTGTCCATCACTAGCACATGCCACTTTGCATTGTAGCTCAGTGGTGCCACCTGCGGGCCAAGCCACGTGGCAGGTACCTGAGCGAACCCAGCAGGTTCCCAATCTTCATGTCATCCATGATCTGCTTCAGTATTTTACAGCCATCCACCCCCAGATAGTTGCCTGGACAGAGAAGCGCATTCGATCACATTGATAACACACCGAGACGGGTGAGGCCCCCCCACAAGTACAGGTCGGCCTGGTAATGGTGGTACTTATGTGCCCAGCATACCGTTGAGGTCCAGCTTCTCCAGAAGGGCTTTATTCCTCACAGCCTTAGCCACCATTAGTGCAGCCTCTTCTTTGATCTCACCGAAGGATAGGTTGAGCTCCTGTAGAGACACACAAGAGACATGTAATGTACCTTACACTGCACCATCCTTTACTTAGAGCAGTCTCAACCCAGTCTTCAGGGACCCCCCAGCCAATCAATAACACCAAATACCTGGTACAGGTATGCTGGGAGGGAACAAAAATGTGGGGACCCCAAGGACTGGGTTGAAGACATTCCCAGTACGGTCAGGCAGGCAAGGAAGTGGGGCAGGTCTGCATGGAGGGGACGCGAGGGACAGTACCTTAAGGATGGGCAGGCCCGTCATCAGCGCGTCAGCAATGGCGGCCGCACCCTCAGAACGCACCAAGCAGTCACCGAAATTGATCACTTGGACACTGTGGAGTCCCTTCAAAGTCTGAACAGAACAATCGGAAGAAGGAATACAAAGAACCAAAGAGATAAGTAAACTGCACGACAGTGCATGACGTCATCAGAAACAGTGTGCAGTGTCAGGCACATCGCATGTCACCTGAACTGTCTCTGTTTTAATAAGTCAAAGCACAATGCAGTAACGTATGAATATTCATCCCTGCACAATACCTGTGCCATGGCGATGGCCCCTTTCTTAGTGAAGGTGTTGTCGTTAAGGTTGAGGACGCGCAGCTTCTGATTGGACTGCATGGCTCTGGCGAGCGCCGTCACCCCAGGGTGGTTGATGCCGTTCTGGGGCATGTGCACCTCCTCCAGGCTTCCCATCATCTAACACAGAGGGGCAGGAAGAAGAAGTAATGAGAGAGCTTCCAAAATCCGGACAATAATCGCAGGCTGTCTGGCGTGCAATTCGGTTAGTAGGCATGCTAATGTGGAGCCTGTTACTTGAAAAGCTTGAGCGAGAGCAGTAGCCCCATCGTTCTCGAGCCGGTTCCTTCCAGCGATGAAAATCTTCAGTGAGAGCGGGGAGCCCACCGCGCTGGACTGTTTGTGACACTCCATTAGGGCTGCAGCTAGGATCTGGAATCATACAGACCGACAAATGCGTCATTGTGTGCAGGTGCAATGCTTGCCGCAAGGCTTTGTCACCGGCAGCTCAATACTTGCCTTCCCTCCGCCAATGCCCATGCCACAGTTGTTGAGATGCAGCTCCTGCAAGGTGTGACAGACGGTGCTCCTGAGCAGCGTATCTATTCCTTTCACTCCATCAGGACCAAAGGCGTTGTCACTGAGGTCCAGCACCTTCAAGCGAGCACCCGCTGTCATCAAGGCTCCTCCTAGGGAGGTCTACAAAACGGAGGAAAGGGCAACAAGAGGATGCTAAGAGCGTACACTACAGCGTTCTCCTGCTTCTTTAGCTCAACAAGTAGGGTCGTGGCTTCAAATCCCAGGAAGCACACATAAATCATGACCCTTATAAGTCATGTGGGTCTCTTTGGATAAAAGTGTCAGATAAATTGAAATGTATTTATTACAGCTAATATTTACTATGTATGAAAACATAAGACTAGATCTAGGCTACCAGAATGTCTAGATTGTACTGCTCGGGAAAATACAGCTTCCATCTAGCAGCACACAGAAGACAAGCCATCGAACGCTTTCAGCTAAAGTTGCGCACATGTGGAGAGTGCAGGAAAGCGGCAGCTCACCAAGGCTGGGGGGATTTCTGATCGCAGCCGCCCCGTGAACATGTCGCTCCAGTAGCAGCACTGTAGGGGGACAAATTGCACAAAGTCAACTCAAGAATCAAGTCCACTTTCTCAGAAAAACAATGAGCGACCAACCGCAGAACCACTCAATAAAGAAACATTGGCTGCTATGTACATATGCCGACTTTGCTCGTATGTTGTTATATAAATGTTACTGTGGGTGGTGTCAGTCTAAAAAACACTCCTGCACCCCCCCCCAAAAAAACCCACAGGCGATTGGTACCTCAAACTCCCCTTTTTTCTCCAGAGTTTTAGCGATCGCCTGGGCTGCTTCCACTCCAAACGTGTTCCCCTCCAGCCTCAAGGCCCGCAACCCCTGAAACTCCTCCACCTCACGCACCAGGCCCTCCACTACAAGACACATCACAGACCGATCAATATGCAAAACCTTCAAAACAGAAAGCTGTGTTTGTCCTACATTACGACTAACTATAGATACATTTCTCACCAGACTTTGCATTGTCAAACTTCAGCCCTCGGCCTTTGTAGCTCAGCTCTCCCTCTCTGACCTGCGTTTTGGCTAGGGAGTCAGCCAGCTGTGCCACATCTTCTGACGCCATGGTCACCTTAAAAAGAGCGATAATGTCACAACCCCTATCACGCAGGGCATGGACGGTACACGGGTGTCGTTAACTAGCAAATCGCAAAATACTAAAGTATGGCAGCATTCTCACAGATAACTTAAACATATAAAGCAAATATCATTATCAACAATACAACCGGCTGATACAGTATTTGTCATCAAGTACCCGAAGTTGACAACCGACCGTTCATTTTTCTATATCAGCTTATTGAAAGCGCTCTATCGCAGAAAGCACAGGCTGTAGAGCCGCTCTGCACACAGATCATACACAGTAAATTCAATGAACTGATCATCTCAAGATAATATATCTAATGTTATTTATGTAGCTACTTAAAGCAGCGTATGGCGTAGTTTTCGTAGCACGCTTGCGTGAGTTACACCTCCAATCCTAATTATTAAACATAACTTTACATGTAATAAACAGATTTCGCAGAACTTATACACCTACTGTAATCTCAGATACTTGGATGCTCGGAGTGTGAGTAGCTAGCTACCACATACACTATCAGACCAAGAAATGTATGTATAAAGTATCAAGTGTTTCAACTCGACCTGGTACGCGATTTACATCTTACAAAAGATTGCTAGCACTGTAGAAATAAGAAAAAAAATTACCAAAATGCAACGAGGGTTTTTAAGGCCCAAAACCGACTGGGATCAAGAATATTTAATGTCACGCCGCTTTACACACTCTTCGTTGTTACGACGTGCAACGGTTTGACCGCGACTTTCGCAAAGGCTGACGGGAGTTGAAGTTCATTTAATAAAAGTAAGCAGAGGCCAGTAGTGGAGTCGAGCATAACATAATGATACTGCAGGATATCGCAGAGCTGCAGTAGGACTGTGAGTCGTTTATAAGCACATATGTTATCTAAAATAATATGGAATTGACAGACGGGCACCAAACAATTGTATAATTAAAGATTCTTAAATTTTCGTAACTGACAGATCCATTTGGTGTAATACGTCATAAGATACACTGATGTATCGGAAACTTACGGATACTTATCAGTGTCGTCGTGTGCATGCTTAGCTCCACAGATTGGTTCCAGTCTCGATGCAAACGTGAGAGTCCTGAAACTAAACTGTCTATAGGACCCGGGGACAGATCGCAAACTTGAGAGCGTCCGAAAAGAACTGAAAGTGAGTACTCACATGTTGTGTCCGTGCACGGCAGTGTTATGGCCGTAGAAGTCCCGAAATTATGAGACCGTAGGATCGGAGCGGACCACTTGTAACATTAATGTGCAAAGTTTAATTTCTGCACCGCATAACGGTCTTCGTCTACACGACTGTTTCTGTGGAAGGTAGGTGGTTAGATGGCATGCTGGGGAAAACGGCTTGTTTGAATGTTTGCAGTGTGAGTTAGCTAATGCTAAATTATTTAATAGTAATATAACTGCAGTATCCTGATATAATTTACAAGGCAGCGTATGCATCGCTAGTTATCTAGTTTACCTACTGAGTTTGCCTACTACGTTCTGGAGACGATGACGGAATGTTTACTTGCTAAGCTAGCCTGGGTATTTTTCTACATTGACTCATCTCTCCGGGACAAGGGGCAGCAGATTTTATTTTGTTGTTTTTATTTTAATCAAGCTCGATATTGCTCGGTATCTGCACACGTCAGGCCCAGTGTTGATGAAACCATCGGTTTTGTCCAGTCTTTTGCGTGAGACAGCTAGGTAATGCTAAACTGTCATCCAGTTTGTCCAAAATATTATGGAGGCATTGCGGCTAGCTAGTTAGCTTGTAAAACTCGCTACAATGACTGTGAAAACTGGAAATAAACGCAGACTCTTGTCAAATCGATATATTGCCGTTGTTGGTTTCTTAAAAAGCACACCTCCCCATTTTAAGTAATAGAAATACAACTCTAGGAAGTTTAAATGTGCAGGTCACCACAGTTCGTTTATATGCAGCTAGCTTAGCTAGTTGGAGAGGGGGCGAAGTGGAATCGGAGTTTTGTGTTTTTAATGCACTTTGAGTCACTGCATGTTTCTCCTGAAAGAAGACGCGCTCCGTCTGCGTCCTGCGGCTTTAAGCGCTTCAGGTCGGCCGTTTTCAGAGTGCCGGACGCGGCCCCGGTGCTGTAGGCGACCTCGGGGATGAGCCAAATGCGATAGGCCATGAAAAAGGCACGAAAGTTCTACTCGTTTGGACGTGTCGGGGATAATATTTTTGTGTTGTCCCTCTTCATGTTTCAGAATTCAAATGTCTGCACTACAAATGTCAAATAAACCTGAATTTATACGGCTGAAAAATGGTTAAATACGTGTGGGTTTTTCGTACTGGAAGGTGCGTTGTTTATATACAGCTAGCTACCGTGGCTGCGGACCTGGCTGGCAGCACATACTTATTAACATGTATTTTTGTCGATCAGAGTCGATCGCTGACGTTAAATATGCATGTGTTAATTTCAGACATGAAAAATAACAAAAGCTCTTTCTTTACCCTGTGCAGTAATGGATTTGGAAAGACAGAGGCGCAAGGAAGAAATACAGAAAGCCCTTGGATTTATACAGTAAGAAACTCTAGTTTGGCCAGTTAACAAGTTACTTGGTCTATTGTGATAGTTTCACTGCGTCTGAATACAATTATATATCCTATTTGTCTTCCACAAATTTTGATAGTATTTTTGTTTCTTTGTACTTAGAATGCTTTGATAGCACTTGGAGGGAAAACAATTTTATTTGTAATGCTAACTGTTTGTCTCATGTGCCAGGTCGTCTTTGCCTTATCCAGAGCCCGAAGGCTATGAGGTATTTTTTTTAAATTACCGAAGAATCTTCGTTTTCCTTATTATGAACATTTATTGTAACTGACTTACAGAGGATCCCGCAGCTTGTCACTTTTCAGCATCAGAAAACTATTATCCTCGAAGGAAATTGTTTAATTGAGTATCTGACAGCAATACTAAACAGCCTGTTTGTTTTGTACAGTTTGGGTTTGACTTAAAATGTTTTGGTTGAAGCTCATACTAATTGTAATTTCCTAGTCTTACATCTGCATCTAGAAATGTTTAGTAATGGTTTCACCATCCATTCCTTTCCTTGCTTGCCGTAAGTGATTCCCTGGCATCTCCCTTAGGCGTTCCTGACCCAGCTAGTTTGCAATCTGCTCGACGAGGGCAACGCAGTCTTCCGTGATGGAGATTGGAGGGATGCGACGGTTAACTACAGTGAGGGGATCAGTGTGGCACGCTACGCTCAAGCCGAGGCCTTGCTCATCCCCCCTGCACTTCTGGAGAGCCTCTATGTCAACAGGGCGGCGGCGTACTACAACACCGTGAGTGTTTCAGTGTCAGCAGCCATTGTGGTGCCATCGTGGCAACACATGGGTTTGTTCAGTAGTGCAACATCAGCTTCATTTTTCTTTTATTTTGATACTATTTAACATTTTGCTTCACAGGCAAGGATGCAATGTTTGTCCTGTATCTACTCTAGTATTATTTTGACTTTTATACTATTTAAATAATTCTTTTATATCCCAGACCCTGAGTTAAATTTCCCTGAAGTGTGTGTAGGGTTTTTGCTGTTTCGTCGTTGACGACTTTGCTGTTTAACAGGTTTGGATGCTGTTCAACCGAATAGTTACTTCAGCATTAGTTCAAATACAAGAACTCGTGGCCATAGGTGGAAATTAGCGGGAGAACATTTC